GCAAAGTTTACCGATAGTTTGCATTTGAACCGATTCGCGATTGAAAACGCCTGTCGATAAAACGTGCTCGAACTTTATAAAATACATTTCCGTCCATGTCCGATTAAAAGTCATCGCGTCGGAAAAGAGAAAAATAGAAAATATATTTTGCATATTCTAGTATCAAATTTATGAGAAATATTGGACTATTAATATATAAATCAGGATTAGATAAACAAATTAAGGATTCTGTTTTATTACTTTTATATATATATATAAACAATTTTGTAGTTTCTTTAAAATAAATTACAAAATCAATTACAGTTCGTATTTGATCGACGAAAATTAATCAATTAAAAGAAATAAATCTATTTTTCTCAAAGCTGATTTTAGTGCTTAAATATTTTAGAATAAATTTATATATATATATATATATATATCGCAGCAGTTTAGCAGCGCTCGAGCCAAGTTTAACTTAAAAGCGGAAAATGCAGCGGCCGTTTTATACGTAACCAGACAGAATATTTTTGTCCCGCTATTATGGGACGAATTCCGCAACTGCGTGTGGCCGGTGCATATAGAAAATAAGAGGCACGAGAGCCGCACGCGCCGCGCCGTTTCGCGCGTTTTTCATTGACCTATATATCGGTTAGTCATCACGATACAGAAGCGGGGAATCTCACGGGAATTAGGACAGGGCCTCGGCCGTCGGCAGGTCAAGGTTTCTACCACGGCACACGTTCCTGCCCGGATCAGCTGTATTCCCCCTCCTCTCCCCCACGCATTCGCTCACTCTCTCCTCGTCATCCCGATTATTTCCGATTCGCGTTCTAGGTTAGACCCGCCGTGAGCGGGCTCGTTCCCATCTGCACTTTTCTACTCCTTCCGCTTTCACAATGAGAGAATTCATGCATTCTAGATTTTTCATAATTCAGAAAAAAACAAATGTTTATCAAGGATATAGGAAGGAAAATATGAGCAAAAAGAATGGACGTAAAGTTCATATCCCAACGAGAAGCGAGAAGAGAGTGCAGAAGGTGCAGCAAGAGGAACGAGCGACTTTTTCGGAGTGTTGCGTTCGAACGATGATGAGATCGTTCCCTTCGGTCGCGTCACGGTCATGTCGCATATCCTTGGAGAAAAGGAAAAATGTTTATACGAAATAAAAGGGGAGGCGGAAGTAAGGAAAAATCGAAGGAATGAGAGATCAGCTCGGAGCAAACACTCACCTTGAGGAAATTCTCGACGAAGAGCTCAATGCCCTTGACTCTGGCGTAGTAACCACGATTGATCTCAGGTGCCTTCCGGGCGGTCTGCTTGACGAATAGGCTGATGAACGGGTCGCACCAATAGCCGAGTTGCACCGCGTAACGCTTGCACTCGCTGGCGTCGTCGTTGGTGGCCTGTATGGCCTCATCGTCCGCCATATCCTTGATCATCCCACCGGTGCCGGGGACAGTGGCGGGTTATCGCTCGCTCTCTCTCCCTATTTTTTCTCCTCTCTCTCTCTCTCTCTCTCTCTCTCTCTCACGCGTATACACACGATGACGTACACGCACACTCTTAATTCTCCCTCTTTCTCTTTCGATATCTCAGATGAGAACGAGCATTCTATCACTCGCGCAACCCGCGCGAACACCTTGGAGATGCGAACTATCGCGTATCTGTCAGTCAGAGCAGAGAGAAACTTGAGAGAGGTCACGCCGATCTTTTTTCTGTTAACGTCGAAATCGTCCGTACACTATCGCCAATACAGCTATTTTTGGTTTGAGAACTATGTGACTACATCCATTTTCTGACCCTGTCGATAAAATCATAATGTAGAAGTTATGTTCGCTTTGGCGTTTACAACGCTTTAAGCGTCGTTTCATCCTTCTTGTTTAGTAAATATTAAACAAAGACAATTGATGCTTACAAGCGCTGTGAAAGACAAAACGAATGCAGCAAAGAATTACATCAAAATATATGGATATCTGGCGGAAAATGGATGTACAAGCGATTTTGATGGTAAAAGACTAATATAGCCTCTCTTTGGTTTCTCTATCGCAGTACTAAATCATGTGCTAAATTGCTTTCAAAAATATAAATTATAATTCGTGGATCATTTAAACACATTTTGTAAATATAAAAATATATATATTACTTATAAAGTTCTATAATAATATTTTTCAACTCAAAATATTATAACAATATGACTTCATTCAATTCTATTTATTAAATGTTAAATGCATTATAATATAATATATATATAATGAGCATTATGCTCATTCGACAATTTGTAAGATTAATGCCGATATAATTTTGTCCATTTTTCGATGCCGCATATATACAAGAAAGCTATCTATTCACATTTCATATATACAAGTAAGCATAATAATTATTTTTACAATACATATTTAATAGCTGACAATGAAATAAAATTTAGTGAAGTTGTATATTATTTCGATTAAAAATTTTACTATAGAATTTTGAATAATAAGTATATATTTTTATATTTGCGCAATGTTTAAATGATCCACAATTTATGATTGCTTGTTATTTTATAAATTCGATTTTTTTATCATATAATTTCTTCGAAAGTCATCATTTATTTATTTTTAATTGGTTTTTAATTTTCGGAAAAAATATAATTTCTAGCCCGTAATCAGAACGTGCTTTTACATATTTGAAATAGTACAGAATATATACATAATGTAACTATGTGCTAAATACATGTTAACATCGTAAAAATGCATTCTGAATACGTACAGGTTTATATTTTAGCAATTGCAATATATGTTTATTAATAAAAATTTAGCAATTATAATATTATTTTGCAGTATTAATTTTGGAATACAGTTTTGAGATAGATAATAATTGATTTTTATTCCTCTATAATCAATTTTTCTTTCGATTTCTTTTTCTGCAATTAGCAATTCTAAAATGACATTTTTTTGAGATATTATCGTAGCAAGTGAGCGATATACTTGAATGTTACAGAAAATCTTTCCATTTGCGCAACGATTTTTTATATAAAAATAACGTATATATATTTATATATGAAAATTATATAAGAAATAATATAAAACAATATATATATATATACACACATACAAATATATGTATATTATGTTTACATATATTAAAGTCTTACATGAGAAAGATATTTTTCATATTATTCTGTATATACTATAATAAATGAGGATGGATTAAAATAGGTTGAAATTTTATCTATCTGAATATGTACTTTAAATAACACAGACTTTTTATTTATTCAATTGGATTCAATTGGACTGACAAACTACATTTTCTATTCAGAATTTTGAATTGATTATTTACGAGATACGAAAAAACTATTACTTTTAAATTGAAAAAGATAGAAATGTGCTCCATCCAACTCATATAAATGAATAAACATATTCGGAATAATTCGGTTTCATTTTAACGTTCGCGAATGCGTATTTTCAAAAATCTGAATCTATCTCAATCTAATTCAATCCATTCTCTTATATATAACCACTCTTCTGTATTAATTTAAGAAAAAGTATAATAAAAATATAGTGAAATATACATATTTACAGCTACAAATTATTTATGATTTGTTCAGAGCAGTAAATGTATTCTGAAATTATAAATTTAGATTGTGAACGATACATATACTCTGTATAATTACTTTGTATAAAACTGTTTTGTTGAAAATATGCTATTAACATACATATCATGTATATTCTACAATTTATTTAATATAAATATTACACAATTAACATTAATTATTAAATATTATTAAATATTTCATATTCTCAGCCTTCTGATTATCTTCATTCTTTGTTCTGCTATTTATAAAAGTAACAATATTAAGCCGATTAAAGTGCAATCAGCTTCCAGAAGAGTATTCATTTCAGCAACTAAGAATTTAGAAGAAATTCCAAATCCTTTATCCATAATCAAATCTTATAGATTCTCTCATATAGTATCTAAAATAAAGAACAAAATAACAGTATTCATCAAAATATAAGTATTCATCAGTATATAGCAAATATCATTAAACATAAATAACATTTATTTTGAAAAAAAATAGATTTTTTGTACTGTCCAGATCTCTGACTTCTTGATAAGTCTTTGACAAACGCAAAATTTCGATCCAAAATCAATATACAGATTATCATCAACCACATGATATATATGTATCTCAGTGACCAGTTATGACTTCTTCCAGATCACCTAACACATTGGAAACAAAATTATGTATTTAATATTAATATATGTCGTTAATATTAAAATATTTAATATTTCCTAGTGTGTACAATTGTTTGACTGCTCTTTAAATACATATTATATACATAATAATAAAATATGTATTTAAAGAGCAGTCAAACAATTGTATGCACTGAAAAGGAGAGATTTATTGACAGATTTGGAGTTGCGAATCAAGAAAATAAACATCTGTAGCTGATTTTTTTATTGTCAGTGTGAAAAAACTTTTCATAACTTCGTACAAAGTCACTCAATTTCACTTCAAATTTTTGAGTTACTTCTGCATTCTCTTTTATTGTGGATTTTTTCCCGATATTGGACTCCAGACGAAAATAGAATCCTTGCTTTATTCCTCTGAATCTTTACTCGTGCTGAAACATCTTGTGGACAAGAAACTCACTTTTAGAATGCCGAGAGATCGTAAATGTATTAACACTCTTTCGGGACGACATCTTATTCATGATGACAACAAAAAGTCCCGGTTTCCATATCATCACACTTGTTCATCCGGCAATAACTTTAGATTAGGTTAGGTTTTTATTTAATATCCTAAAGTTGAGGTTATAAAAATTGTTATCTCGGAGAAGTTATCGTGATTAAAAACATCAAATTGATTTTAGAATTAGAAAGAGATTTTTGTCAAAGAGAAAATTTGTATTCTACGATAAAATATCATAAAAAAATGTTTGAGAAAAAAGAATTCATTTAATCGTTTCTAACGTCGTTTTTCTTCTTTCTGCTAAGAGGAAGTTTATGCTATGAATATTATTGTAATATTAAATACATTATTTTTTATATTATATGTTTCAGATTACCTTAATAAAAGGAGATTAAAACGATAATGTTGTTGCCTTTTACAGTATCAAATGTTGCAAGCAGAAACATTTTTACTTCAATCCTGTGAGTCAGATAATTAAATTGAGTCCATTAAGAGTAGTGAATAACAGCGAGAAGGCAAGCTATGATGGAGAGTAGCTCACGTTGCACACATATGTACACAAGCGCGGGGTAGGATACATCGGTGAGACAATAAATGAAAAACTACATAAAAGATATTATTTTATAGGATCAAATTTATCTAAACAATGCTATACATATTATTTAGGTGATAGAATTTTAGTTGCTATAAGAGGAGAAAAGAAAAAGGGTATATTGATTGGATTGAAACAGCAACAGATCCCTAAAGTTCCCAAGTTTGATAGCAACAATCTGATACGCATAAAGGACAATGGCACGCTCTAAATACAAGAATACAGATGCCTATTCCACACATATTCCGAACGAAAATAAAAGAAAAGACTCACAGCAAAGGAGCAGATTATACTAAACTGATAGCGATTGTATCCAGAGTCATGTAGTGTATCTATCTTGCCTACTATTGTAATATATGTATTAAATATTTCATTATAATATTAATATTATACTTATTTAGTATTACGCAAAACTTGTAATGTGGATATGTAATATTACTCATGCACCTGTGTGTATTTTATTAATATTGGATCGTCCGGAAAGTTCGTGCCGCAAAAGATTTAAATTTAATAAATGAAATTAAAAATTTAAATCTTCTGCGTTTCACTTTTTCTTCAAAATCAGCATGAACTTTCCGGACAACCCAATACAACATTGGTCATCATATAATCTCATCTTTGTTTAATGTTTGATGACAAGAAGGATGAAATGATATTGCGTATCCTATGTATGTGTATGCTATGATTTTGATAGATAAGTTTTGATAGATAAGTATAACGCTGGCAAGTGTAACTTTAGTTCAATTATTAGCCACGTGATGTCTATCTTTTTATATTTAAGTGATTATATATTTAAGCGATTATTTAAACTAATTGTCAAAGTTATTATGCCTATATTAATGCCTATATTATTGATTTATGATTTTTTTATTAAAATTTTAGCAAATTACATAACTTTTTTTCTTCGCCTTCAAATAGAATTTATTATCAAATTTGTCTTCATCGAATTTGGAAATCAAATTAGTAATGCAAATAATTCTTCAGTTCCCGAAAGCACTTGTTTTCGATATGATTCTATATAAGAATAGAATATAGATGAGCATTTCTGGATCCTCGGATCCAGAGGATCGGTAGTCTGATACTGGTGAAGAAAGCTTTTCGTGTCTCTAATCTAATAAATTAGAACATGGTTTAATCAAAATCTTTATTTAATAGTTTCAATATATAGGTTCAGATACAAAATAATATAAAACTGTGTTTCAGCATAGTAGATCTGATAGTATATTTCATAATCATGAATCATCGATCATCATAAAAAAAAAGTCTGAAAAGACTTCTCTTATTAAAAAACAGACTTGGATAGTATTCATCTGAGACCGGTGATGGGACTCATGATGAATGTCCTTGTCTACTAAAAAAAAAACAAAAAACAAAATACAAATAAATTGTAAATAAATTTGTAATATAGTACTAATAAATAATTCGCTAGATAATAGCGTTATTGCTTGTGTTGCGATATTCACTGCCAATACTGAATATCTAGTACATTACCTGTACTATAGTTCAGCATTACACAGTGAATATGGGAACAAAACCAATTGTAAATAGCACTTCTAGTTAAATCTAGAATCAATCACCAGACTTACTATGTTGAAAACAGCAGTCTAATATCAGTTAACAGGAGCCATTGGACAGGAACCGCTCAAGGCATTATCTTTATTCAATCAGTAACGTTAACTACTTTTTTTGCGTTGAGCATAACGTAAGTTTTGCTGTTCAAAAATTTTTATGACTGTCTAGTTTAAATCCGAAATACACGCAATATCTCAATACGTTTACTTAACGGTCGCCATAGTCGCTATCATGATGGAAAGAATCTTTAATCAAATCTTAGATCCTCTCATATAGTATTTAAAATAACGAACAAAATAACAGTATATAAATATTTATCAGTATATTTGATATATAGCAAATATCATTAAACATAAATAACATTTATTTTGAAAAAAAAATAGATTTACATGTACTGTCCAGATCTCTGACTTCTTGATAAGTCTCTGACAAACGCAGTAAGATCCAAAATTAATTACGTATTATCACCAACTACATGATATATATGTATCTCAGTTATGACCTCTTCCAGATCACTTAACACACTGAAAACAAAATTATGTATTTAATATTAATATATGTCGCTAATATTAAAGCATTTAATATTTCCTAGTGTGTACAATTGTTTGACTGCTCTTTAAAAACATATTATATACATAATAATAAAATATGTATTTAAAGAGCAATCAAACAATTGTATGCACTGAAAAGGAGAGATTTATTGACACATTTGGAGTTGCAAATCAAGGAAATAAACATCTGTAGCTGATTTTTTTATTGTGAAAAAACTTTTCATAATTTCGTACAAAGTTACTCAATTTCGCTTGAAATTTTTACTTCTGCATTCTCTTTTATTGTGGGTTTTTTCCCGATATTGGGCTCCAGACGAAAATAGAATCCTTGCTTTGTTCCTCTGAATCTTTACTCGTGCTGAAACATCTTGTGGACAAGAAACTCGCTTTTAGAATGCCGAGAGATCGTAAATGTATTAACACTCTTTCGGGACGACATCTTATTCATGATGACAACAAAAAGTCCCGGTTTCCATATCATTACACTTGTTCATCCGGCAATAATTTTAGATTAGGTTAGGTTTTTATTTAATATCCTAAAGTTGAGGTTATAAAAATTGTTATCTCGGAGAAGTTATCGTGATTAAAAACATCAAATTGATTTTAGAATTAGAAAGAGATTTTTGTCAAAGAGAAAATTTGTATTCTACGATAAAATATCATAAAAAAATGTCTGAGAAAAAAGAATTCATTTAATCGTTTCTAACGTCGTTTTTCTTCTTTCTGCTAAGAGAAAGTTTATGCTATGAATATTATTGTAATATTAAATACATTATTTTTTATATTATATGTTTCAGATTACCTTAATAAAAGGAGATTAAAACGATAATGTTGTTGCCTTTTACAGTATCAAATGTTGCAAGCAGAAACATTTTTACTTCAATCCTGTGAGTCAGATAATTAAATTGAGTCCATTGAGAGTAGTGGACAACAGCGAGAAGGCAAGCTATGATGAAGAGTAGATCACGTTGCACACAGCGCGTTGTACACAAGTGCGGGGTAGGATACATCGGTAAGACAATAAATGAAAAACTACATAAAAGATATTATTTTATAGGATCAAATTTATCTAAACATTATACGTATTATTTAGGTGATAGAATTTTAGTTGCTATAAGAGCAGAAAAGAAAAAGGGTATATTGATTGGATTGAGACAGCAACAGATCCCTAAAATTCCCAAGTTTGATAGCAACAATCTGGTACTCATAAACGACAATGGCACGCTTCTAAATACAAGAGGTGCCTATTCCACACATACTCCGAACGAAAATAAAAGAAAAGATTCACAGGAAAGGAGCAGATTATATTAAACTGATAGTGATTGCATCCAGATTCATGTAGTGTATCTATCTTGCCTACTATTGTAATATATGTATTAAATATTTCATTATAATATTAATATTATATTTATTTAGTATTAAAACTTGTAATATGGATATGTAATATTACTCATGCACCTCTGTGTATTTTATTAATATTGGGTCGTCCGGAAAGTTCGTGCCGCAAGATTTAAATTTAATAAATGAAATTAAAAATTTAAATCTTCTGCGTTTCACTTTTCCTTCAAAATCGGCACGAACTTTCCGGACAACCCAATACAACATTGGTCATCATATAATCTCATCTTTGTTTAATGTTTGACAAGAAGGATGAAATGATATTGCATATCCTACGTATGTTATGATTTTGGTAGATAAGTATAACGCTGGCAAGTGTAACTTTAGTTCAATTATTAGCCACGTGATGTCTATCTTTGTATTTAAGCGATTATTTAAACTAATTGTCAAAGTTATTATGCCTATATTAATGTCTATATTATTGATTTATGATATTTTTATTAAAATTTTAGCAAATTACATAACTTTTTTTTCTTCGCCTTCAAATAGAATTTATTATCAAATTTGTCTTCATCGAATTTGGAAATCAAATTAGTAATGCAACTAATTCTTCAGTTCCCGAAAGCACTTGTTTTCGATATGATTTCTATATAAGAATAGAATATAGATGAGCATTTCGGATCCTCAGATTCAGAGGATCGGTAGTCTGATACTGGTGAAGAAAGCGTTTCCTGTCTCTAATCTGGTAAATTAGAACATGGTTTAATCATCAAAATCTTTATTTAATAGTTTCAATATACAGGCCCAGATACAAAATAATATAAAACCGTGTTTCAGCAGTAGTAGATCTGGTAGTATTATCATGGATCAATAACCACAAAAAAAAAGTCTGAAAAACAGACTTCTCTTATTAAAAAACAGACTTGGATAGCATTCATATGGGATCTGTGATGGGACTCATGATGAATATCCTTGTCTATCAAAAAAAAAACAAAATATAATAAAACAAAACACAATAAATTGTAAATAATACTAATAAATAATACTAATAAATACTTGTAATATAATAAATAATTCGCTAGATAATAGCGTTGCTAATAGTGTTGCGATATTCACTGCCAATACTGAATATCTAGTACATTACCTGTACTATAGTTCAGCACACACAGTGAATATGGGAACAAAGTTCCAATTGTAAATAGCACTTCTAGTTAAATCTAGAATCTCAATCACTACCAGACAATGTTGAAAACAGCAGTCTGATATCAGTTAACAGGAGCCATTGGACAGGAACCGCTCAAGGCATTATCTTTATTCAACCAGTAACGTTAACTACTTTTTTTGCGTTGAGCATAACGTAATAGTTTTGCTGTTCAAAAATTTTTATGACTGTCTAGTTTAAACGATCCGAAATACACGCAACATCTCAATACGTTTACTTAACGGTTGCCATAGTCGCCATCATGATGGAAAGAAGAAAGATGACTCTCATTATTTACCATGTTGAAGGAAAGCATGGAGCAAATCACCTTGAAGATACCACAGTTGGTATCATTAGCTCGATTATTATCACAGTCGGTATTTGCGCAGCGATTGATAAATATGTGAAATTATCGAAAGATAGAAAGCTTTAAAGTCTTGCAATGTCCGCGAGAGATCAGTTACTCACTTAGTTGTTGTTCTGATCGCGGAAGAATGTGACGGCTTTTGTTCATGTATATACGTAATACGTAGTGTACTTCACTGTGCGTTTTTTTTTGCTCTCGTTTTCTGCTATGCGAAACAAGGAATAACGTATTGTACATAAACGGTAAAAGGCCGCGAATCGCAGTGATGTGCCCTCGACAATTTTCCGCGACGTGCGAGTTTGTGTCCCATTGTCAGATCATCGTATTTGACGAACATCAATCGAGTCGAGGAACGATAACCTAATTTGTTCGACGATTATGTCAAAGATAGACGGTTGCTTAATTCACTTGTAGGACACACGGTGAGTAACATTTTTGCATGGTCCGCACATTCTTTGTACAAGCTCAACCAATTCGACGAAGCGTTTCATCACAATGGGCTTTTTTTTCTGTGTCTCCTTTTCTCAACGTTCCTCACCTTGTCCGCGATGTTTAGCATTACGATCATGACACGCACGAGTTTGTGCGTTAATCGTGAATGATATCCTATTATTCCTGTTTCGTGTAAATTATGTAGGATAGGGATTGCATGCATCATCTGTGTGCCGCACGTATATATGTGAATTATATATGAATGTTTATATGAGAATTATATATGGTATGTTCGTAATTAGGATTTTATCTGTCAGTTACGAAAGTTAAATTTATATAATATTGTTAAGTACATAATACTACAGTGTGTGTGTGTGTACTTCGCCGTACATTTTCCTTCGTTCTCCGCAATAACATGGTCTTAACAATTTTTTGCGAATTTGTGTTTAAATATGTAATTTTGATAATTATTTAGAGTGCGGACTGCACTTCCGATTTTGATGAAATTAGGCTCATTCAGTACGTTTTTGCTCGAAACAGAAGAATTTGTAAGAAAAACTGGCCCCACAGAGATATTAAGCAAAGTTTTTTTTTCTTCGGAGTGTCCCTCGGATAAGGGAAAGGAAAAGGCATTAGTTGTCTTTTGAACTTAGAAAAGTTGACTATTGAACTTAGAAAATCCGTCATAGCGACGAGATACAACGACACTACTGGACCATCTATGAGCTACGATCATACATAACACGTAATTGAGGATAAAATATTTTCTACTTCAATTACATAAATTCTCTTAAAAGCAAATTCTCTGCTTTATAAAAACACATTTCTATGCTTTAAAAATACATATTATTTTCTACATAATTTTTGTTTTAACAGTAGAAAATTTATTTTTAAAGCAGAGAATTTATGTTTTTAAAACAAATATCTAATCAAAACAAATTATCTGCAGTAAAAATAAAAATTATATAGAAAATAATTTTTATTTTTACTGCAGATAATTTGTTTTGTTATCTGTATTTTTAAAGTAGAGAATGTGTTTTTAAAGAAGAGAATTTGTGTAATTTAAGCAGAAAATACTTATTTTGGCCTCAGTTATATGTGCATGACCAACTCATGACACATAGATGTGTTCAGTTGTGTCGCACTTCATCACAGCTATTACAGATTTTCTAATCTGTAAATAATTCATCAACTTTAACGCTTAATATCTCGGTTTGAGAACGACCTAACGTTTTTTTTCTTAGATTTTTTGTTTCGAGTAAAAACGCGTCGAATGAGCCTAACTTCATTAAAATCAGAGATGCAGTCCGTATTGTAAATAATTACAATAATTTTATTATGTATTATTTGATGTTTCAGATTATCCTAAAGAGAAATCATAACGATAATGTTGTTGCCTTTTACGGTGTTAAATGTTGCGAGCAGAAACATTTCTACTTCAACCCCTGTGAGTCAGATAATTAAGTTGTGTTCAATTGAGTCGACTGAGAGTAGTGGACAACAGTGAGATAGGAAAGCAAGTTATGATGGAGGATAGACCATGTTGTATACACGTTTACAACAAGCGTGGGATGGGATATATCGGTGAGACAAAAAATGAAATGACTATATAAAAGATATTATCAGGATCAAATTTATCTAAACATTATTATATGAATTATTCAGGTGATTTCAGAATTTTAATTGCTATATGAAAAGAAAAAGGGTATATTGGTTGGATTCAAATAGCAACAGGTTCCTAAAATTCCCAAATTTGATAGCAACAATCTGGTACTCGTAGATAACAATGATACACTTCTAGGTACAAGAATACAGGTGCTTATTCCACATATTCCGAATAAAAATGAAAGAACAGACTCACAGCAAAGGATTATACTAAACTAATAATGATTGTCAGACGTGTATCTATCTTGTCTACTATTGTAATATATATCAAATATTTCAAAAAAATGTTAATATTGTAATTTAGTATTTTCTACAAAACTTGTTTGTAAGCGTGTCATTCATGCATCTCTGTATTTTATTGTATAATAATATTTTAACAATAAAATTACCACATTCAAACCTATTTTTAGATATATATGCACTAGGGATATATTTCACGCGTTTGCAACAATCCTGTCATCTCATTCTTGTTTAATATTGGACAAGAAGAATGAAATGATATGTATATGTGTATGCTGAGATTTTGTGTATAAGTATAGAGCTCGCAAGTGTAACTATAATTATCAGCCATGTGATGTCTATCATTTTGTATTTAAGCGATTATTGAAATTAATTGTTAAAGTTATATTATGTGTCTATGTTTGGATTTATGATATATTTGTCTCAAAATTACTGATATGAAAACGCGTTGACAAGAAGAAGTATACGAAGCAGTTGGAATTACCTGATAAATCTGTATGTAAATGTTATATTTAATATATACTTTTCATAACGATCTATAATTGTGACAGATAATTATTGAAAATATTAAGTATATCATTCATATATACCGATTTATCAGGTAATTCCAATTGCTGCTTCGTACTCTTCCTTTCATCAATGCGTTTCCGCTTCACAGCTTCGCAAAATTATGTGTAGTTGTAGAATACTATAATATAATACAAATTATCAAATTATTTGACATCCAATATTTTTATAGATTATGTATTATATTCAGTTCATGCACTCGATATTATATATAAATAAAATTTGCAGTCGATAATGTCAGTGCTACACATGTTCCAAGATTTTGTACCACATCTTTCGAAAATGTTTGAAAGACGTCTTTTGGAAAAGTCTTAAAGACATTTAGTTCAAGACATTTGATATGTTCTCTGGGATGTATCGTTTTATTCCCATTTAACACTGCAAATAAGAAAATGAAGATATTAATATTTATTTATCTCGCTTATCTCAGTGTGTTGTCATTACTTATTATTAAAGTATTCCAATTTGTATACAAAAATCTGATAAATTTTATAAAAAATTATAAAATTATTCAAAAATCCTTTATATAGAAATTTTGAAAAATGATATAAAAAATTTTTACCAGGGCATCATTTTTTTTCTTTTCAAAGATTATAATAAATAATACAAATTCTCTGATTTTTTAAAATTAAATATCCGTCTGTTTAGTTGCGCCTTTCTTTCATCTTTTATGCACATAACAAAGTGAAACTGATGCTGTTGCACGTTTTATACATTATTAATATAATTTTTCATTAATCTTTTTAATAATAATATATATTTTTCACTGACGACACGTGTTTTATTGACAATAAGTCTTGTTACAAATCTTACACTGCGTCTTTGGAGTACAACTTAATATTTCCTGCGAACGAATCGGCATAGGCTTTTTTTTATCATTATTAAAAAGCTTTCAATTGCATTATACTATATATATTGTAGCGAGTTGCGTGGTTCTTTCAAAAAGATCGAGAGTATTACTTAGAAAGAACTACTTGACCTGCTTAAATCTAAATTAGAATAAGAAATTTATTATTTGTACATATATGTGGAAGTGATGAACATTCTTTTTTTTTAAATATCAACGGGACAGAGTAAAAATACACATTGAAAAATATAATTTAATATATAATATGTAATATACGTGTATATAAAAAGATGAGCCGCTCAGATTCTCACGTAATATATCAGTGGCCTTAATTGCAGTGTCGTATTGCTTATATTGCTTTTGTTGTATAATGTAATAAATTAGAATTTCTGTCTTATTTCCTGATGAAATAACAATAATTAATGATTCTATAAGACAAATGGGCCTTCCTTTCAGCCATCGCACTGTCTCGATCGATTGATGCAAATGTGCGCGACAATGGCATGACTTTGTATTGTGGTGCCGTGTACACTCCCACACGCGTACATGATGTAAATAAAACATGGATCTGTCTCTCTCGTTGCTGATCTCACGACATCAGTGCGAAAAAGTTGTTCGGCACAGATGTTGCAATATGATTCTGTCACCGTATTCGCTTCGCATAAGCACAAAAGCATATGATAGACAAAGGATGTTTTACAGCAACATACATGGACAGTCTACTGACTTTGCATTACTGTGTAACACAGTGTATAATCTTGTGCTTTCCATCTATGACATAAGTCGACACAATCGCACACAGTTAAAATGCTAACTCTGGCGATGAGATAAAAAAGCAACGATTCAGATACAAGTCGACGCACTGTGCATTATTGTGTTACACAACATATGTTTCGTTGCTGGAAAATACTAGATACCTACAAAATGCACACAAATGAGTGCTTTCCATTTAGTGATACAAGTCGACACAAACATCATTTTATCATTCACGAATAATTAAAACAGAACATTTGTGTCATCATTAAATGAAAAGCATCCAGTGTAACATGGTGAACCATTTGATTTTTATTTAATATCTGCAAGAAACAATAAGGATATAATGATATACTGTGTTACATTGTATCATGTAAACTGTAACTCTTATTGGACAGCAGCCAAAATGTCGTTCATAAAAATCCTTGATGCATGTATACTGCGTACATTGTAATTATTTTCCACAAACAATATAAGTCGACTTTCTCTATTATATGCTCTTGCCCTAAATTTGGAAAAACGTACCCCAGAAACAAATGTTATATATGTATATGGACATATTTTATATATAATCATATATAATTGAATATAAAATATGTCAATTTTTTATATAATTATGTATAATTTTATATAATTATATATGGACAATTGTTTTAC